CCCTGGCCAGCCCCACTGCCCCCCCGGCCAGCCCTGCTCCATGATCTCCCCCAGCCAGCTTCACTGCCCCCACCAGCTGGTTCCCACCCCCGCGATCTCCCCTGGCCAGCCCTGCTTCCGCAGGCCGGTTCCCCTCCCTATCTCCCTCGGGCACCTCCACTGCCCCGACCCTGCTTCCCTGTGGCCCATATCCAACCCCTCCTTCCCCCTCCACAGCCAGCAATAAGAGCTCACCTGGTAACCCTCACTATGCCTCTGCTGGGAGCCTGAAACATACGGCTGCATCCGCCCAGCCCGGCTGAGGGCTTGGGGAACCCGGCGCTCACGGGCAGTCCGGGAGCCCGGAACACCCTGGCAGCCACGCTGAGGCCCAGTATTTTTTTCCTGCGGCCCGGTACCAGGCCATGGCCCATAGTTTGGGAAACACTGTCTTGAATTATAAGACTATAGCAGTCAGGATATATTACCAACCACCAGCCTAGATTGTGATAGTGACTGTGAAATGCTAAGGAAGATTAGCAAAGCTATTAAAATAAAAAACTCAGTCGGGGATTTCAACTATCCCCACATTGACTGTGTGTGTGTCATTTCAAGACAGGACACAGAGAGAAACATAAGAACCGTCATACTGGGTCAGACCAAATGTCCATCTAGGCCAATATCCTGTCTTTCAACAGTAGCCAATACCAGATGCCCCAGAGGGACTGAACAGAATAGGGATCAAATGATCCCTCTCCAGTCATCCATCTCCAGCCTCTGACAAACAGAGGCTAGGGACACCATTCCTACCTAGCTCTTTTTTGAACCCTGTTAAAGTACTGGTCTTCACAACATCCTCTGGCAAGGAGTTCCACAGGTTGACTGTGGGCCGAGTGAAGAAAAACTTCCTTTTGTTTGTTTTAAACCTGGTTAAATTTCATTTGGTGATCCCTCGTTCTTATGTTTTGAGAACAAGTAAATAACTTTTCCTTATTCATTTTTTCCACACCAGTCATGATTTTATAGATCTCTATCATATCCCCCCTTAATTGTCTCTTTTCTAAGATGAAAAGTCCCAGTCTTTTTAATCTCTTCTGATATGGCACCTGTTCCAAATCCCTAATCATGTTTGTTGCCCTTTTCTGAACCTTTTCCACTGCCAATATGTCTTTTTGAGATGAGGCAACCACATCTGTGCACAGTATTCAAGATGTGGGCGTACCGTAGTTTTATATAGAGGCTCCCAGTCCCTCCCCCTCCTGCTCTGACCCATCAGCTCTCACTCCCCTCCCACAGCTGGAGGAGAGAACCCAGGAGTCCTGGCTTCCAACCTGCTGCTTTATTTCTCTTATTCTCTATCCCTTTTAGATTATTTCCTAACATTCTGTTTGTTTTTTGACTGACTTGCACATTGAGTGGATGTTTTCAGAGAAATATCCACAATGACTTCAAGATCTCGCTCTTGAGTAGTTGTAGCTAAATTAGTCCCTATCATATTGTATGTATAAACTTAAAAAACATCGAATAGTTTAGTAGCACTTTAAAGACTATCAAAAATATGTAGATGGTATCATGAGCTTTGGTGGGCACAGCCCACTTCTTCAGATGATGGGTCCACCCACCAAAGCTCATGCCCACCAAAGCTCATGATACCATCTACATATTTTTGATAGTCTTTAAAGTGCTACTAAACTATTCGATGTTTTTTAAGCTTTTCCTGTTACAGACTAACTCAGCTACCTGTCTGAAACTATTGTATGCATAGTTGGGATTATTTTTCCAATGTGCATTACTTTACATTTATCAACATTAAATTTCATTTGCCATTTTGTTGCCCAATCGATTAGTTTGGTGAGATCTTTTTGAAGCTCTTACAGTCTGCTTTGGTTTTAACTATCTTGAGCAGTTTGGTATCAGCTGCAAATTTTGCTACTTCACTGTTTACCCCTTTCTCCAGATCATTTCTGTTTTTTAATTTCTGTTTAACTAACCTCCTTAGTTTGGTGTAGTTCCCCTTTCTGAAATTAAATGTCACAGTATTAGGCTGCCAAGGTGTCTCATGGATGTTAAATTTTATTACATTATGGTCACTATTTCCAAGTGGTCCAGTTGTATTTACTTTTTGACCAAATCCTATGCTCTACTTAAGACTAAATCAAGAATTGCCTCTCCCCTTGTGGGTTCCAAGAAGCAGTCATTGAAGGTATCAAGACATTTTATCTCTGCATCCCATTTTGAGGTGATATGTACCCAGTCAATATGGGGATAGTTGAAATCCCCCACTATTATTGATTTTTTTATTTTGATAGACTTTAATCTCCCTTAGCATTTCATAATCACTTTCATTGTCTTGGTCAGGTGGTCAATAATATATCTCTACAGCTATATTCTTATTATTAGAGCATGGAATTACTATCCATAGAGATTCTATGGAAGATTCTATAGAGAGAATGTTTCTTGACACCTTAAATGACTGCTTCTCAGAGCAGCTAGTTCTGGAACCCACAAGAGGAGAGACAAGTCTTGATTTAGTCCTAAGTGGAGTGAAGGATCTGGTCTAAGAGATTAATATAGCTAGACCACTTGGAAAACATCCACTTCATGGGGAGCGGCAGTCAAAAAAGCAAACAATGTTGGGAATCATTAAGACAGGGATAGAGAATAAGACAGAGAATAGCTTATTGCCGCTGTATAAATCCATGGTACAGCCACATCCTTGAATACTGCATGCACATGTGGTCACCTCATTAAAGATACGTAGTAAGATGAGGGCCTGAAACAAAAGCCCATTTAGCACAGGCCTGGTTTGAAGCCTGAGGCTTAGCTGACAATGGACAACACTTGGCTAATATAAAGCAAAGCTAAACTGTGAGCAAGCAGCAGGCCCCGGCTCACAGAACTTGGCACGCTTGGCAGAACTAGGTACCAGCTGTAAAACAGTAATTGGTACTGGTTATAAGTTGAAAGCACATTTCAAAAGGATGGTACAACCAGCTCATTAAAAAGATCTTGGTACCCAGATGCCGCACAGATGGCAACCCAGGTTCAGGAAAGTGTCTAAAATGACAGCATGATGGATAGAGATGATCTAATCAAACCACAAAATACAGGGTGGTGGGTGGTATCTAAATAGTGTCAGAGGGTGGTAACCTGACAACATCAGAGGGTGGCAACCTGACACATCAGGAGTGATGTGTAACTTGTTTGTACCTGTATATAAAGTGGTGTATTGGGGCGACAGTCTTTGTCCAGCTGAGGGGGCAATGGGACATCCTACTGATTGAGCTGAGTCCAATGTTACGGGGTATATATGTGTAGCTGTTCAATTGAGTCTACTGATAACTATCACTGTACTTCGCTTAACAATAAACCCAGCCAGGCGCCTTCGATCCTGATCTGATTTGTGGTCTTTGAGGGCTCTCTCAGTGTCTGCTCTGTTGACTAATTGAGCAAGTCAACACAGCACACATGATTGAGCACCCATGCATGCAGCCTTCTGATTATTATCATCAATGGAGCTGGAGACCTCTCAGGACCCCATGACAATAAATCCTAACCTACTTCATTGGTGATCCTACTAGAAGATACCTTGGCATTGGAAAAAAGTTTGGAAAAGGGCAACAAAAATGAAAAGGGGTTTGGAACAGTTGCCAGATGATGAGAGATTAATAAGACCGGGACTTTTCAGCTTGGAAAAGAGACAGCTAAGGGGGATAGGATAGAAGTCTATAAAACTTTCCCATAACAGAACTAGGGGTCACTAAAAGAAATTAACAGGCAGCAGGTTTAAAACAAACAAAAGGGAGCATTTCTTCACATAATGCAAAATTAACCTGTGGAACTCCTTGCTGGATGATGTTCTGAAGATCAGGACTATAACAGGGTTCAATAAAGAGCTAGATAAATTCAGGGAGGCTAGGTCTATCAATGTCTAATAGCCAGGATGGGTAGGAATGGTGTCCCTAGCCTCTGTTTGTCAGAGGCTTGAAATGGATCACAGGAGAGGGATTTCCTGCTCTGTTCATTTCCTCTGGGGCATCTGGCATTGGCCACCATCGGAAGA